GCATAACTGCTCATTTCTTATTCTGTATCTAATGAAGCACAGAAACCATCAGCACACACTTGTCTGAAGGCTCATGAATTTAGTACACTTGAAATCACTGGCATTATAATAGTGCATCAAGCAACACATTTAAATCCTCCTTAACATACTTCCAGACCATGTATAAAACAGGTAAACGTGTGACTGAGGTAAGCTGGCTCCATAGGACATCAGGGGAAAAACAAAACCACCCTCAAGTTAGGCATATTAATGAGCTTACTCTGGAATGTGCCACAGTTATGGCTGCGGCTGCTAATGCCAGCACACAGAACTTGAGGCCCATTTTACAAAGCAAGTACAGCAGGTGGCAAACACATTCAGTAGTTTCAACACAAGACATCTGATCATCAGAAGCTTGCTGACAGGGTAGCAAGAAAACAACCACCACTTCATGAAACAAACAAATCAAGAGCTTAGCATGATTCCCTTGTGACAAAACCAGTCTAAAGAGCAAGGTTACACACTACCATCTTTACAAGAAACAGAGTGGATTGAGGGATCTATGCCTCCACTCCTCACCTCAGCACTGGCAAATCCCAACTAGTTTTGCAGAGCCTTGAAAGAAACTACACAACACAGTAGCTAGCACTTCAAGTTCTCATTTTTCATCTTCAAGTATCAGCTTTGATTTCAACAGAGACAAATGAAAAACCAACTTGGTGGCTCTCAAGACAACTTCCCCTGCCAGTAACACAGTGTGAGCAGCTTCTGCGCCTAGTCATCTGGGGACACTTCTTTGACATCCAGAGGTGTTATGACAAGCTCTGTCTGCTGCTCTCAGCACCTCTTATGAGCCCCGAAGTTGACAAAAGCCAGTTATGAGAAAACCAGCTTTCACTTACCACACAGTTCAGACACCGGTCCCCGAGTTTCCCCAAGCAGGTGCCTGTCCCTGTATGTTCAGACCTGCAGAAAAACCACAGGATTAGGCTGGACTTTCCCCCAACACACATACTAAGTCCTGTGGACTGTCAGTTCTAGTTCTACCACATTTTAACTCTGCCCAGCAAAACTAAAAAGAACAAAGATCAGGTCCCTTACTCTGAAGGCAGATATGTCACTGAAGTGCTATGAAGGACACAAGAGCTGCCATCTGGCAAATCTCACAACACTAATCAGAACATTAGATTAAAAACCCCATTCTGCAAGAACTTGTAGTACTGAATTCATTGCAAAACAGGTATGGCTCCAGCAGTAGGCACATCACCTGATTGTTCTCAATCCTGAACCTTTCCAGAACAGAACCCTCTGCACTTCAGAAGGGAATTCAGCCTCCAAGGCTCATTCAGTACCTAGCATCTCTGCTCAAGCCATCAGAGGAGAACCAGTTAGCATCATTCAGTTTGGTTTGTTGTTTATGGGTATTTCACACCAAAAAAAGCCGACATAAGCAAAGTATCTTGCTGATTCAGACTGAAATAAATCCAGTTACAGAAGTGAAAGACCGTCTAACATTAAACTGCTTCAGTTCCATGGCCATGCACGAAATGACACAAAAAGGGGATGTACAGCACTTAGTTTATGCTCAAACACGGGGATTTTCCAGAGCTTTCTGAAGGCTGGCCAAGTCATGCTAGTGGAGAAGTAGGTTTCAGTGACTGACCTGCAGATGCTGAGAGCTTATAGAACAAAGGACAGTGGAGAAACTGTCCTTTGGCCAGTGTCAACAAGCCAGAGTGGAAATACAGGTTTTAGGATGCAGGAAAACTTACTCATCAGACACTTCGATGGAGGATTTCTTATAGCCAGGCTTTTTTTTCTCCTTTTGCACTGCAAATTTTCTTCCCATCCTTACCAGCAGCAGAACAACCACAATGATGGAAGGGAGAAACACTAAAATGGACAGCAGCACCGCTGAAGTTAGCTGGAAGGAGAAGCCTGCAGAAAAGACAAACAGCAGCCCAGCTGCCTTTAAGTCTCTGGAAAATGTTCATCCATGGCACAGGTTGCGAGGCTTTCAGTACAAAGCACAGAGCTGACAGATCTGCAGCAGCTTGTCACTGAATCTCTAGGATTCCTGTCAAGCATCCAGCACAGACAGGTGCTTTATTTGCAGAAAGCTACAAAGGAAGGCAGGTCACGACACAGTTCTATCAGTGTGCCTAAACTGCAAAATTGGGGCAGGTCTCACACGCAAGGCAGATGAGGAAATTAAGTAACATTAAGAATCAGCACTTGTGATGCGACTCTTATTTTTAGACCAGTATTAAACTTGTTCTACTGCTGCAGTATGCAGAGAGCCGAACTCCTGAACAATTGCACGCTTTTGATTTCTTTTACCATCACAGCTCCCTCAGTCCCTTCCTGCCCCAATAAATGCACTAGTTTTCAATGTCTGTGGCTCAGAAAGATGGGGTGAGGTAACTCTTGCTGAAATTCTAATGTGGAACTCCAGGGAACTTGTTTCATGAGTGATGCTCAGACTTCCAAGAGCCTGACAAAGCCGCAATGCAGCTGTAGCACCTGGATGAGGACATGCCACTGACATGGAGCCTTACCTCTCTCAGTAACTACCAGGGTCGTTTGGGGAATGTTATGGTACACATCCGGAGGATTCTTCACGCTGCAGATGAACGTCCCATTGTCACTCATTGATGGGCTTTCAATAGCAATGGAAGCATCGCCCTTGGCAACATTCCCAACCCAGGATATCCTGTCTTTGAACTTTCCCACTGTTGTTGGGTATGGAACAGACTGATAATGAAAAATCTAAAAGGAGGCAAAGACAATAAAACACTTGTCTAAGAAAGCAAAGCAAACTACTTTTCGGATTGCAAACAGAAATGAACACATATTAAAAGTGAGAAATAACACTTCTTGTATAGGAGACCTTGTCAAGTTCTCATATGATAACTCTGAGTCAGCCTCATTTCATTACATCTCCAATGCTTTTATCTACCAGCCTCAGCTCTCTGTCACCATCACCATTCTAACCAACTTTTTCCCTTCTGCAGATCTTCAGTTGAGAAGCAGAGTGAGCTTCTTGCCTCATACAACACAGAACACAGCAGTTCTTGAAGGCTTGCTTCTTGCACTTTTGCTCTTGCTGTCTTATGAGTAGAGGCTTAGCAGACATCACTTGACAGAAGAAGCACCCTATTGTTCCAGACAGAAGGATACTCCTAAGAGTTCAAACTCTTCAGGCAACAGAAGGCACCGATCATCTGTAAAGATGTGCATTTTCTGTTTCCACCTTGAAGAAGAGATTTTCAGCGAGCTTTCAGACTCAAGTTTCAAACTGCTGCTCACAAAACAGCAAGCAGAAGCCCTCAAACTTTAGAGGCTGTCATCATCACCGTCTTCAGACTGTCACCACTCACATGTGCTTGCCACTCCAAGAAATATCAGCCATAGCCTGCATGACAGAGCTACAAGGGTCCAGCTGCCTTCAAGAAAGCTTCCGATCAAATGCTTTACACTCTATTCTATACATAGCTACAGTGCACAACACAGCCCTGGTGTCAACACCCAAACCTCATCTACTTTATCATCATTATGCTATTATGCATATATGCAGAGTATTTTTCACCAAAAGAACACTAAAGCAATTTCACAAGGGAAAGAAGGTGACAGTGACAGTCCCAAACCCAAAGGGATGAAGCAGCACAGCAAACAGAACAAGTATGTTCAGAATCTCATTATGCACAGAGGCCTGGTCAGTCTCCACTACAAAAAGAGGCCGTCCCACTTACTGTCTCCATCTGACCACCCGTGACGGGCCGGTATGTCCAGTCTATCGTCAGGCTCTCAGCGATGGGAAAACTGGATTTGAAGGAGCATCTCAGTGCTACCTGTTCACCAACATAAGCTCGCACGCTAGCACTGGCTTTTATTTCCAGGGAAAGAGCACTGCAGGCCCCTGTGGAACAAGCACAAAAGACAAGGATTTGCTTCTTGTCAGAAGCGATGGTGTCCCAAAGGCACTGGTGCATGTGCAGGTCAAGCAGCCTAAAGACGGAAGCCCAGTGATGACTACCTCCCCATAATGACATTTAAAGAAAAGCAGACAGCTCTGCTCACCTATTTCCCTATGGGATCAGAACTGGCCCAAATTACAGTATTTATCTGGAAAACACCACTAAAAGCCTGCAGATACTTATCTGGGGTGGTGAAGAGCCGAGAAATGGAATCAGCTGGCTCTCTGATGAGTCGCCAAGTGCCAGCTTTAGACTAATCCAAGGCAACTCACGCTTCTTTCGGTACCAGCCGAAAGCCCTGGAATCCCGAGTGAAAGTGACCAGACCTCAGCACAGCAGAGAAGGCCAAAGGTACCGCGTTTGGGGCACAGCAGCATGAGCCATTGAACGCTGCCTGCCCTGCGCTGCCCTGCTCAGCGGCTTCGCTCCCCCCACGGTTCTCCTGCCCTTTCCAGCGCTCCCCGCTCCGCAGCGGCCCCGGGGCCCGCAGCGCTTCGCGGCCGCACCCAGCTCCGGCACGGCTCTTCCCGGAGCCTCCGAGCGCATCCCGTCCCCGCTGACCATCCTCCCTGCGGGGCCCGCCGCTCCCGGAGCCGGCTCCCCCCGATCAGACCCGATCCCGTCCCGTCCCGTCCCGTCCCGTCCCGCAGCGCGCCGTTACCGAGCAGCAGCAGGGCTCCCCGCGGAAGGAGGAAGCCACCGCCCGCCTCGCCGCACCGCATCCCGGCTCCGCTCTGGGCCGCAATATGGCTGCTCACCTGCGCTGCGCAGGTGAGGGCGGAGACAGCCCAAGATGGCGGCCCCGGGTCGCCATGGCGACGGGTCGTCTCGGACCGGGAGCGGAGGGGACCGGCCCGGGTACCGCGGCTCCCCGCGCCCACACGGGCCAAGGGACGGGGCGCCGGGCTCTGCCCGCTCAAGGGGACCGGGTCTGGGTGAGCCACGCGGCTGCGTTTTGGGTACTTTTTAGAGCAAAGCCCCGCTTATCGGGCATCCCCCGCGCCCCTGCACGTCTGTCACATCCCCTTCTACTCACAATCACTGCTCTCCACAAAGCGAGTTTATTGGTAACCCAGGAGACTGAAAATGACAACGTACAGACAGATAATGCGGCCAGCACATTACAGACAGCGTTATAAAGTCATAAAGATACTCTCAAAACAAACAGGCTGATGTTTTGACTTGGTGCTGTTGGAATCCTGTAAGAGCTCTGCAGCTGGAGCTTTGGCAGAAAGCAGTGACCTCAGAAGCTGTAAGAGATTGATGCAAAACACACACCAACCAGTAAATGTTATCCTAAATAGAACACCATACATTCCCAAAGTGTAACGCTTCCCATCTGAAGTGGCAAAGGGATTTAAACTACACTGTACAACCGGCTCCTCCTCACACAGACTGTGTCAAACAGGATTTTGAGGGAGGAAAACCAGGGCACACAAAGGCACCTTGTGATTTCCAAGGTGCGAGCCTGCACTTCGAGCATCTCTGCTCAGTCAGGTAGCTCGGCATTCTGCTCCAATCTGGTGGCACTCTGTCAGAGCAGACTTGGTCACGTTCTGCAGGTGTGAAGGTGAAGAAAAGTTCCTTGTTCATGGAGCAAGTTCCTCCTGCTTTGCTTCAATGGAGGAGTTTTACAACTGGTGTTAATGTCATTCTCTTTCCTTGCCAGAATTTCAGGTTGAGCGGGGACACCACGCTCCCAGCATGAGGCATCTGGAATTCAGCTTTGTCCTAACATCCGAAATTACAAGGTTTCTGCATCTGCCTTAGAAGTACCTAAGAAGAAAGAATATAAGAACAAAGGAGATTCCTTGCTCAGGGTTATTGTAGACAACAAAAACAGGAAAGGCAGCTGCTGACCTCAGAAACTGAGTGGGTAAAACTCATGCTGTAATGTTGCCGCAAAGCCAGCAAATGTGGAAACAGTCTCAGGCTCCCTGTAGCAATTTTAAACCAATAAAAAGCCAATGAATCCAAAAGCAGGCTCAAAACTGGGGAAAGGAAATGAATTCACTCCTTATCCACAAAGCAGGCACAGCATGGAAAGCATCAACACTAGGGAGGAGAAATCTCAGCTGCAGCACAGAGGCAGTTGTGTCTCCACTCCCTGTTCGGTTGTCAGTCTGAAGGCTCCTCAGGAGCACAGTGTGATTGTGGTCTCAGTTGTTTCTGCTTATGGTTAGCACCAGCTATTGTGACTAGAAGTGAAACACCAAAGTAAAACTGCCTTCAAAGGCCTGCGGAAACACCAGGACATTAATGAGAGAATGTTTGAATGGCTACCTGCAGTGGATACCATCAAAGACCCCTAATCTTCTAATGGACTGTCTTCCTTTTCTTCTCTCGCCTTCAGACTCTCCTTTTCTTTACTGTTACAAAGGAAGAGGGGAGGAAGAAAAGAAAGCCCAAATCAGTGTCATATCCCGAGCAGCAGTCACGTTCTGAGTTATGTATAGCACACGTAACACATAACAGGGTTACATGATGAGACAGTAAACCTGCTACATGCATGGTGACCACAGTGTCGTCTACCAACCAGCACTACAACAAGATGGACCCTTGTCTGGGTGAGGAGCTGCTGTGAAGAACAAGAGCAGAAAGAGGACTCCAAAGCTTGTTTGTCCCTGGGCTCTGCTCTGACTGCATGCACGCAGACAATTATCGATAACGCAGTTGGCAGTTCTGCATTGTAGATGCTCAGCACAGGGTCCAAGCCCAATAGTTCAGAAGAGCTATGAAAATACATTTGGAAAGCTATTCCAGAAGCCTTTCCCTCTCTCCCCCTGTCCTTACAGTTCAGTGCCTGTCCCCTCGATCCTCTTCTCTTGTGCTTTCTTCCGATGGTGTCGACAGATAATCACAACCATCACCACAATGATCATCAGAACACAAGCAGACGCAATGGCCACAGCCAGGAAGTGGATTTCTGAGAAGTGCACTGCATGGAGAGAAACACATCTATGAACAAGAGGGACACACAAGAAGCTCTTCCAGGGGCTGGGAACCTGTATCTGTGAATATAACCTTCCCTCAGGCTCCTTTTCCCCCGTACCCATTAACTACCCTCATGCTTTCTCTTTATAATCCCTTTTCTTCCACATTTTCTCCCAGACATGGGGGAATTCTTGCTAAATTCACATGACCTCCGGTGGGTTCTTGGCCTCTCACCTTTCTGCACAACTCTGAGTCGCACTTCACCAATCACCCCATTAGCGTCGGGGGGGTTCTTCACCTGGCAGGTGAATGTCCCGTTGTCAGTGGGCTGCAAATTCCAGATCATGATGGAAACATCATTACGCTCAATATTCCCATCCCAGGTGACTCGCTCTTTAAACCGTCCAGTAGGCAGATTGTAGGGCTCCTGCAGGTAATACAATACCTACAGGAAAGAGAGGCAGCTGTCATTCCAACACACTGTGTGGGCTTTGTGATGGATGCTTGCCCATACCCACACCTGGAACTGTTGCAACCACTGGGATTACCCAGTGCTGGGACTGGGCATGGCATGGGCAACTGTGCATCCATGAAATGGACAATAATAGTCCCACTCACTAGCTCATGAGAGCCCAGGTCCTCAGGCTGGAAGTTCCAGGTCACCGACAGATGCTGGCTGATAGGGCTGCTGCTGGAAAAGGTACATTTCAACCGCAGGTTAGTGCCGTTCACAGCATTCACCTCCTTGGAAGTGTGAACTTCCATGGCTGCCACAGGCCACAGTGCTGCAGGGAAAACAGCAGGCATTAGAGATAAGGCAAACTACTGTCTACCAGTAAGCTCATCACTTCTCCTTATCTGCATTTATCCTGTGCAAAACCTGCCTTATCTATCCCTGTCAATGTTTAACCTGCTAGTCTCAAGCAGACAGATATAATTACTGAAGGAGATGATCCTGCATATGCAGAATCCAAGAGATCCCTGGGCTTCATGGATTTTGTCAGCTGATACGATATGCAAGCTGGGCAGTGCTGCTTTCAAGGGAGTTTGCCTTCATCTGAACTGCTGGTACAGTGCTTTCCTTGTAGCTTTGTGGCTTTGCGGTTAAGCACTTACAGACCTGGCAACTGGTTGAGAGAGGACCATTGAGAAGGACTTACCTACAGGGACAATACTTTGTTCTCACTGGAAATGTCTCTCTTCAGGCATGAGTAAACTTGACATCTAGGAGGTGCAAGGTTGTTGTAAATGCCACTCCTCCTTAAGCATGTACTTGCTCCTGACTGGCACTGAAGATACCATGCATAACTCTCCATGAGCTTGGCCTGGCCACATTATCACAAGTGACAGCACTCTGCTGCACTCAATTCCCCAAGCAGGTTTCTTCAGAGAAGCAGTCCCACCCTTTAAATTAGGACTGATGAACCACAGTAAACAGTTGCTAGAGCTTTCCTTTATACACTTTGTATTATCAGCCTGAGTGCCATGCTGGAAACTTCTCCTATTGAAGTTAGCAGTGCCTGTTCAAAGGTTCGCCCAGCTGGACAGCTACAGTCAGATACAGCCAGGCTGAGGCACTCTGCAGGGAATCCTCAAGGTAAATCTGTAAGCATATTTTTGGCAAGGAAACATCCTCTGCTAACCAAACCACCACAGCTACCACGTTGAAAATAAGACAGCACAGCTAACTCGATAATACCCTGAGAGAGAGACAAGCAGTGAGACAGAGAGCATCAAGACACAGAGAGAAGAAAGATGCTTTTGAAGATACCTCTCAGGCCTGAGTCCTCCTTGTCTTCTGGCTTGCCCTGCCATTCCAGACAGGTTCATCACTGGCAGATTCGTGCTACCCACATGGCTCTTGCTTTTTCCCCCCTCAACTGCTTTCTTTGTCGCCTGCCCACTTTAGCTCCTGAATTCAGTGGGTTAGTTTCCCCAAACGGCAGTGCTGTGCTACATAGCTTGCTGCTGCTGAAAGGGACAGTCCCCCCCTGTTCCTGACCATGTGCTCCCATGACTTTGCTTTTCCTTATTGGTCAAACTAACCCAGCCGAAAAAAAAAAGAAAGATATTCATAATCTCCTGTCACTTTAAGAAGATGAGTTAACCCCCCCAGGGTGATTCGAGAAAAAAAAACCAAAAACATTTATCTGGGGTTGTAAAATCCAGCTTCATAACAAAGAGAATCAATACATTTCCTGTACTTGAAAATAATTTATAACCCAGGACTTCCTTGCCAAATAATTTCTTTTCTCAAAGGAGAAAATACTTGAAACACCAAAACATTGAAGGAGGCCACATTGATAAACTTCTCTGGCGGACACCCTCTCTCATCCAAAGATTCAGTGTCAAATCTTTTCATGTTAAACTCCTTCAAAAGAACAACTGTGGGAAATGAGTTTAAAATTCGTTTTCCAAGACAGATTCCGAAACGTTTCCATGTGCTGGTGTGTTTGGGAAAGGAGGACACGGTGTTCTTAGAATCCAGCTATAAACCACTAAACATTCAAGCCAGGTTATTGCCAGTCTGGAGTCATCGCTGTGTAAAGGATCTAAAGCCAAGTGCTGCTTAACAATCCCTGACTGTCTGGTAACAAAGACAGGGTAAAAAAAACACCACGGAGTAAAGTCCAGGTTCCTGGGAGGAGAGGAAAAGACGTGTAACCAGAGCTCAGAATGAGATCAGTGTTGTTCTTCCGCTTGAACACACTTAAACCTGTTTGTCAAAGAAACTCAATCACTTGGTGTCACTTGCAGTGAACCCAGACCCGAAAGAATCGCAGTAATCGTCAACAGCAAGTATCCGAGCGTCCTACAAAGTCACTGCCTTAATGAGGATGATAATTAAGGGACAAGAAGAGGAAAGTCAAGATGGCAGCTGAGGCCACACATTACCAGGTTTCCTTACCTCGGAGCTGGACCCCAAGGAAGAGCACAGCACCCAGCCAGCTGGGGCCGTGCATCGGGAAGACAACTTTGTACTCCATGGGTAACTTGTTCCAGTTTCTCAATAACCGGAGGAAAGACGAGGTTCTCAAAGCCTTCCCAGCACAGCCGAGCAAATTCCTTTCCCTCAGCTTGGCTTGCAAAGCGATGTGAGCGCTCTCCTGCTTGAGTCAGAGAGCACTCCCTGGCCTTGCTCTGAAAGGCAAGGTGCGGCCAGCACAGCTCACCTCTGCGGGTAAAACAGGGAGACTTCCAAGGTAAGATTATTTTCTTCTGCCTCCCATATTCCCTTGCTCTTTTGTGTTGCAATCATCCCTTCTCCCAGCTTCCACCTGAAACCACTCCCTTCTTGTGGGAGGTAAATTTGCTCCCAAAAGAAGATTTGCCTGAAGGTGTTTATAGAGAGCTTGAAGGAATGAGGGCCATTTGTTTGGCCAAAACCTGCAAACAACCCAGTCAGTGGCAGCAGTGTGGGCACACGTCCAGAGGATGGAAATATCCTACTGAAACATAGCCTGATGCTAATTTTCCCAGCAGTGGTGCCAAGGCAGGGATGGGAAGGATGTCCTAACCTCTGGCTGTTCTGAAGGGCTCCCTTCTTTTATTAACCTTCAACATCTTGTTTCAAACCCTGCTGACTCCAGCTGTTAAGAGAGCACCGTGTCCTCGGCACCCTTATAAGTAACTCAAACTCTCTGATGTTTCATTTTGGAACAGAAATAAATAAAAGAAAGATCTGGCAGCTAAAGAGAGCAATGAAATACCATTATTAGCCATGTCACTAAGTGTTGAGCTCATGGAAGGAGCAAGAAGCCAGCTCCAGGCATCTGGAAAGGAGTCCCTTGAGATGTATGTGGCAGGCGCAAAAACACAGAGTGTCCTTGTGGAAGGAGGGACCCGTGGCTGGCTTTGCACTGTGCTTTAGACGCATACCCTGAAATCCCAACAGCCGTATGCACAGCGCTGCCACCTCTGCAGGCTTCCAGCAGAGAGCCATGGAAGGACAGCGTGTTCCCCCTCCGTCTGTGCCAGCACCCCGGCTGGAAGCAAAGCCGGAAAGCTCCCTGCCGCAGTCCCACGCGGTGCGGAGGCTGCTGCCCACCCCAAGCGCAAGTCCGGGTAGGGAAGGTGCCGGAGCGGGGCTGGAGCCCCATCTAGTGGAGTCAGGCCCATGAAGAGAGCTGGAGAGAGAAGGCAACTCAGGTGAGCAAGCTTCCTCCTAACAGCAGCGCACGGCACGGAGAGCAGGCAGGTCAGAGGCTGGCAGCGCAGAAGTCGCTGTGCTTAGCCACAGCCTTCGCTGCTCTCCTCCCTGTCAGTATGTGTACTGAAGAGAGTGCGGATGAAGAGCTGGCAAACACCACTCTTGAAAAGGCACCATGAATAAATGGGTTTTATTAGAGTAAAATAACCAAAGTTGTGTCCAGATAGTGTCATCAGTGACTAAACCCCCCAGGTTTTACAGCCTGGCACTTACAGGCTCATTTCTGTGAGCCATACAGTGCCTCTAGGTGCTGAGCTTCTTTGAAGTGTTTCTGCTTCCTTGGTTTCCCTGCTGTGTTAAGTTGCTTGCAGTAGTTTGAACTTCAGAAACACTCACTGTGAAGGGTTGTTAGGAAGGTCCTGACCGCAGGTCGCATCCAGGCTTGTTTCTCTCTCCTGCTGCTCCAAGGGCATTTACAACAGGACTCCTGAGACTTGAAGTGGGCTGGTGCAGAGCGGCCACCCCTTGCTGTCAGTGACGTTCCATGAAGATGGTTTGAACCTCCACACTTCCTGACATGGGCTCATTTCATCACACGCGTTCTGCGCCGTGGCTGCCTGCAGGTTGCAGTGGAAACAGTGAGTCTCCTCTGCACGACTTGGGTCACAGTTCTGGGAAAACAGCTTGGGCCTCTTTCTTGTAAGCGAGCCCTTGGAAAGCCAATGTGTGCTTTCTTCCCTCGCAGCCTGCCTCAGTGATGCCCATCTGATGTGCTATTGAAGAGCAAGAGAAGGAGGAACACAAGGATGAGGTTGGAGCAGTCCTTGCCTCTCCTGGGAGGACTCCTGCTGTGTGTGGGTGAGTACGGCTGCCCGGTGCCCATGGGGACCAGAAGGGTGGCTGCCCTGAAAACCAGAAGGTTCTGAGGTTTACATTTTACTTTTACATTTTATTCGAGCTCTCTTCCTAAACCATTTTGTGATCATGGGTAAATAACTTGAGACTTACTGTGAGATCGTGGCAGTGGTAGCAATATCCTCTTTACCAGTTTAAATTGACTAGCATCTGGAAAGCCAGACTAGGGCGAAATGCAAAGTACCTCTAAAGACTATAAAAGACCTGGTAACTATGAGAGATAAGTTTGAAAGGCACTTAAAAGATACTACAATCAAACAACAGCTATTCTGCTAATGTGCTGCAAAGACCAGCTCTTGGTCTTTGAGAAGCCTGAAAACACTCGGTTTACCCATGGTCTGTTCTTTTTTCCACTTTAAATTCAAGTTATCTAAACTAAAAAGCACCACACCACCTTCTCTCCAGGCAAGTCCTATGCCTGTGGAGTTTCAAATCTACAGCTCTGTTAGAAGTAACTCCTATTATAAAGCAAACATTACCTGGCATGAAACAGTGGTGAACGCATGAATCAGGTCATTCCTGTACTTAATTTATATCAACAAATGCTTTTAAAGCAAACACAAGTCTTATTAACACCTCCTAAAAACTGTTTCTATAATATTCCAACTCCAGAGACTTCAATGGAGCTACTTGTTTCCAACCAAGAGAGAAAAATCACACCGGTAAACTATTTCAGTGTTAAATCAAGCACTGGGGTCCAATCCTCCAAAGAGTACAGTCCTGCAGGGGACAGGGGTTCTTACTGCAGAGACCAGGCATGATTTTCCAGCAGTCTTTGGTCCATGATGATGAAGCAAAATTGTGGGTTCCCATCGTCCAACAACCCTTTTCTAAAGTGGGTCAGCAAATAACTCAGATTTCCATTCTGCATTAGGCTGTGTTAAAAATGGCTTCCAAAGGAAAAGACTTCATTTCAAAACAACATCCTGCCTCTCTTAACAGAATGCTTCTAATGCCTTTAGCACAATTATAGGAGTATAAGCAGCTCTTTCAAGCAGCTGGGTTCACAAGGGCTCTCCTTGAAGTAGGAAAGGTGCATGGTATCAGTAGCTGAACTACTTAACACCTATTATTCTTTCTTTTTGCAGCTGGCGCCACAGCTCAGCAGGGTAAGTGTATTTTACCAGCATTCTTGCCTACTGATGATCAAAAGACCAACTATGCTTCACAAATGAGGAATAAAATTTCAATAGAAATACCTGAATTTTTGCAAATACTGTAGGATAGGAAAAACATCACTGTTCATTAATTGATACTGATCTCACTGACTTGGAACAGCTGCCTGTTGTGAATGCCCTTCATTATTGCTAGTGATCCCCAAGCAGAGTTAGGCATTTTCCAACAGCAACAAACAGTAACACATTATTCTCTCCTTTGCAGATGATACGGAAGCACAAGAGGGTAAGTGTATTTTAACCAATAATCTTAACTAGTTAGCACTTTATGAAGACTACAGGTGCCTCACAGGTGAGGACTGAAAGGCAGCCATCACCAATCACAAAAATAAGCTATAATGAGTTGCCCCAATTACTGTTAATGGTCTCCTAGCAGAGACCAGCAAGCATATGGATAAACAGAAGAGTGCCTGGCAGGAGGCCAGGCTCTCTGACTACTCAGTATTGCAAAGAGTAAGTGTACAAACCTAAAGGAAAATGTGTGTGCAGAAGACACACTCACAGAGAATCTACACTGAAATCAAAGACTTTGCAGAGCAAACTGCCATGGTGGGAGCGAGGGTGGGCAGGGAAGCCTGTTCAAAAGCCATTTGTAATGCTGATTTCCTTTCTCCTTCACCCATCTTCCAATAAAGGATTCCTGGTGGAGATTTCTGGAACCACAGTGACAATCACATGTCCCTTGACTGAAGGCACCATAGCCTGGCACTCAAGTGGGAAAAAGGGAGTCAGCGATGCACAGAAGTACGTTATAGAGAATCACGACAGCTCTCCCATCAGCGTGAGTTGTTCATCAGGTCCTAAGAAGTATGAAATGTACCTGAATGCCAAAGGTGAGTGAAACAACACTCAGTGTATGGGTTAAAGTCTGCACATTTCAGTGATGGATATTAGGAGCTAGCACCAAGCAGATGAGTGAGGCCTGGACTTTGCTTGCTGGAAAGGAAGAGTGCCCACCTCTGAGCACCCTCATGTCTCCTCCCGGCAGTGTGCGCAAACTGTGCGGAGCTGGATGCCTTGGCAGTGACAGGGATCATCAGTGCGGATCTTCTCATCACCTTCGGGGTACTCACTCTGGTCTATTACTTCAGCAAAGACAGGAAAGGCAGCGTGAGCGCTGGTGCTGGCAGTCGGCCACGAGGTAAGAGCCATTTCAGGCGTCTCCGCTCTCCATGATGTCTGCTAAGCACTGAATGGAGCACTTGCTTTTAAAGAAGCTCTAAGCTCATCATAAAGCCATGGAGTTGACCCATGATATGCCTTACCTTTGGATCATCTCCGTGAAAGTCCCTTGTGTTGTGTTATATGAATTATCACCAAGGATAACTTCCCTTTGCCTTTGTTGCAGGCCAGAAGATGCAGCGTCCTCCCCCCGTTCCAAACCCAGACTATGAGGTACGGAGTACCTGTGTTTTGTCTCTCTTTGCTGGCTGGGGAGGGATAAGGGGAAAGCCATAGCTGGGAATCCGTGGCATTTATGCATTTTACTCCTTTGAAGAGCCACCCAGTCCAACTGTGGTGCTGTTTGAGGGTGTGTTAATGAGGATCCCCAAACTAACACTTCTGTCTTCCCACAGCCCATCCGGAAAGGCCAGCGGGAAGTGTATGCAGGCCTGGAATCCAGGGGCTTCTGAAATTCCCACTGACGCCAGGCTGGAAAACAGCAGCAAAGGGGCTAAGTGCTTCTGCCCAGCTTGGCATTTTGGAGTAGGGCAGCTACTACACAGGGCAGGTGTCTGCTGCCATCGCTGTCCCACCCTGTGTTCTTTCCACCTTCAGTTTGACATAAGGGAAAAGAAACTGATGAGCACGTTGGCAAGAGAAGTTTTGCTCCTCATTAAAGGACTGCAGCCTCACTCCTGGTTCCTGGCCTCCTTTCCCCTCACACTTCTCTCTCTGCTCTAGTTGCATGCTCTGGTTTTCTCACCCATTTCATTTCTGCTCCCAGTGCCTCCACTGGCTCCAGCATGGGCAGCCAGTGGGCATAGAGTGGGTCCTTCTCAGAGTGACTGGCCTCCTGCTCTCATGTTCTTCATAGCCTAGCTTCGTTTTGCTGCCCAGGATTATAACACAAGGGACAGAGGCAGGCAGCATATTAAAACCAAAATGATGCATTTTTATAGAAAGCCACTGCTTTGAATGAAAATGTTTCAGTCAAAAAGAACAGCTTTCATTAAAGAAAAGAGTAACATTTCTACCAGTACATGCAAACCTACCTGTCCATCCCCCAGCCCTTCAGAGCAACAGCTCTGGAGAAAGGAAACAGCAGCAGTGATGGGGCCTGGGGGTGGTTTAACCCTTGAGTTTCAGCATGAAGAAGTAAACACCAGCAAGCTTCATGCTCCAGATTGCTGTGCTTACCCTGCAGGATGTGGTTTTAAAGCAGCACAGCTGGGTTTACCATACAAGGCCCTAAGTACCTAGGAGGGAGATTGCAAGATAGAAAGAGCACCACCCCCCAGCAGCTCTAAAACCACCCTGGGCCACATTCTCAGGTTCTGCCAAACATCACTGCAGCAGGGCTGCTTGCTCAGCCCAGCCATGCAGCCCATTGCCATGAGTGGGATGGGATAAATTCAGAGCACTCTGAGTGCTGTCTGGGTGTACAAGGTCTACCTTTTGCTTCAAGCTACACCCCAGTGCTTCTGCCATGTATGGGGCTGCATGTTTGCCCCAACCAGTGCCATCCCACGCTCCCCTTATCTCAGTGGGATCAGCTCCCATCCAGTGATACCTCTCTGCCTCTGTGCTTAGCTGCACTACAGAAACGCTTCTTCGTCATGCCTTCTTTGACTAGACAAGTTGTAAACATTACCTCTGCTGGCTCTTTGATTTGTACAGACCATAGCCAGCCGCTCTGCCCCAGGTTCCTCCTGCTCTGTGGGTGTAGTTAGCCACCTTTGCTCGTTACTTTGAGAGCTGATGTCGATGAAAATGCTTTGCACAAGGCAGTCTGCTGGTCACTGTCTTCATAGTCCTGCCTTACCTGATGCCACCGAGTCAGAAGCAATTCACAGCCTGATGCTCTCTTTAGAGCTTCTCAGAAGAGCAGGGAACCACACCTACATGTGTGTGCGATGGGCAAAAGGGGGGTGACCTAGTTTCTGAGGTTTCTAACTGCTGGCAGATCCTGTCTGTTAGCTGCCTCCCATATCAGCCATACCCAGACCACAGTAACTGTCTCTGCTAGAGCTGGGGAGTGGAGACTTTGCCAGAAGGAGCTGGGTTGAGGTGGAGAGACCCAGTGCTGCTCAGTGGTTGAGCTGGGAAAGGCTCTGGAAGTTTGCTCCACTGCACCCTGCACTCAGCCTGTAATATGGGATGCCAGTGCCTGGTCACAAAGGCCAGACTCTCTCTGGTGGGCTGCTGAGCTACCAAGAACACTGGAGGTGCAGGGAGCAGAGACTGCCTCTGGCCTTTGCTGCCTGGCCAGCTCCTCTGCCATGTGTTTTGCAAGGTCTCTGCTCCAGTTTCCATCCTCTCTGCTGTTCCCATTTCCTCTTTGGGTCCCCACAAACTCTTCTGGGAAGCCAGCACAGTTTGCTTCTTTGCTCATGCTTCACTCCCCTAAGCACCGAGGGAGTCATAGGCTGGCTGTGTGCTAGGGTCCTGGCAAGCCTCTGTGGTTTGGAGACTGTGCTTAGATGCTAAACCTTGCATATGCAGAGCAAACATCCCTCTGTCCTCCTTCCTGGCACAGACACGAGCACCTGCCTGCACTGGCAGAGCAGTGTCCTATCGGGACAGGCAGGAGCCCTATGGCTCTGCAAGCACCCAGTGTGCACCTTCCCCTGTGACTGCACAGCTCCCCAGGCCTCAACAGAACTGATGGAGCAGGGAGACAAGGGGATAGGCTCATCTTTAATAGGAGCGATACAGAAATGCACAAGGTCAAGGGAAGGGAAGAGTGCTGTGAGCAGCACATCCCAGCAAGGAGCTGCAGGGCTCTCCAGGGAAAAACTCACACTGTCTTCTGCCAGCAGGAAGCTTACAAAGGCAGTGCCAGGGCAGGGTACCAGTGCTGTTGGGCACCCCTGGTGTGAAGGACTCACAGGCTCCAGCATCTTCCCACTTCACTTGCGGCCCTTGGCAGGTACCAGCTGGCTGTACTGCTCATTGTCACGCTCGCCAAGGGGCTAGGAGGAGAAACAGGAGAGACAGGCTGCAACAGTGCCTGTCCAGTCCTGGGATGGGTGGTACAGGGGATGAAGCCCGTAGGCATGCCCACACAGACACACAAGAGTGCCCAGCTTACCTGGTAGAGCTGCTCATTGGCAATCAGGTTCTGTCTGTCAGAAGCTAAATGAAGAAAGAAGATGGTCAAGGATCAGGGGAGTCATGGGCAGTGCAGTGGACATCAGCAAACAAACCCAAGCAGCTTCCAGCCCTATGCTTTTACATCCTCTGGGAGGCTCGACGGGAAGTCCCTGCAAGGCCTCAGATGTTCCTGTGTCACCCGTGGCTGCTCCTGGGATGCTGTTTTGGTTAACCTTGTGCATTCACTGGCTTCTCCTGGGAAGCTGAGCTAGGGGCAGTAAGGATACCTGGAGAGCTCACATAGGTCCCTGCCCTAGACACCCTGCTGGCAGTGACTGGGCTCCGTGAGCAGTGATAGGAAGTCCCTTGGTGGCACGCAGCCCCTAGAGATGCCCAGGCACGTCCTGTCCCCACCCGTGCGCTGCCCCCTCACCTCGTGACATGCGTCCCTTGTCCTGCCCAGTGATACAATACACAGCCACCGCCAGGAAGACGGTGGCGACGACATCTGCCACCACGATCCCCGAGATGGTGGCAGCATCCACTTCGATGCAGTTCTGGCACACTGGAAACCAAAAAGACACAGACACTGAAAGCCGGGCCATGACAAGAAGCCTGCCCCTTGGCCATAGCCTGGGCCAGTATGAGTGCCAGGTTATGGCACTGAATGTATAGCTCTCATGGGGACACCAGATGCAGAACATGCAGCTTGGCTGTTCCCAAGGGCAACCTAGCACAGGAGCCACCAGGGCTTCTGCAAACCAGGGGAACAACCCGCAAACTGTGGGAAATGAGCAGCTCCCTCATAAATCTGCTCCGGTGAAAACTCCAAGCAGTCCCAGCTGTAGAAGCCAGGTTTGCAACACTTACTTCGGTAGTGCACCTGGAAGGGAGGGCTTCTCTTTCCTTTGTCTGCTTCACATGTATAGATACCTCTGGGATCATCGTAAATTGCACCCAAATCCAGCTGTGTTGCGTTTTCTACCCAATTCCCATCTTTGTACCATACAATTTGAGTGTTGCTGCCCACTGGACACTCTAGGAACACCTTCCCGCTGGCTTCTTTCACAGTTATCTTCTGTCCTGTGAGAAGCAGACAAATAGAGTGTTTCACAGGCACGTTATCAACCCTCACAGTGGTGCAGAACTCAGGGATGTCATCGATGGAGATTGCTAGTGTAGGAAGCATCACGTTAGGCTGTCCTGAGCAGTGGAATGGACAGCACAAACAAAAAGAACTCTGGAAACAGCAGACAACCCAGTGGAAAAGCAGCCCAGTGGTTACATGAATGCAGCTCTGAGGAGTTTATAGAGATCCAAGTCTTCTTAGAGTGAGAACTAAGTGGAATAGGGTAGTCACCCGGTCTCCATTCAGACTGTATGTGCGTGACCCGCATACAGACTGCATTGGTGTTGAAGTACAACTGCAGCAAGAGAGGAACAGAAAAGTTAAGTGTTTCCAGCAGCAGAGACAGGAGCTGAGCCCAAACAAGGAGGCACATACACGTTGCAACAGTCTCTAAATGGAGAGTAAGTCCCCTGTCTTGTTTGCTGAGTACAGAATAGAGGCTCTCCAGCTTCCACACTTGAACTGGGCACAGAGCGCATGGCTTTGGTCTAACACTGTGATACTGCCAAGCCCAACTTCTCATGCTCTGTTGCTGCAAGGCGGGTTGGAGCTACCCCAGAATGGTCCAGCATGGTCCATACCATACACAGCATGGTCCAGAGCAGGGAAAGCTCTCACTGCAGCAGCCCGCGGGCAGCGACCCGCACGCTGGGACTTACCTCGGACACCCCAGCTGGCCCCGGCCAGGCTGGCCAGGAGCACCCAAGCACCCAGCGCCATTCCCCTCCGCATGGCACCAAGCCGTGGCGGCTCTTTCCCCTGCTCGGAGGGGAGGACGTGGAAAGGCACCACCCGCTTTTGTCAGGTACCGGATGCCGGGGGCTGGAGCCTCCCTCGCACGGCAGCTGAAGGATGCCTGAGGTGCCCTGTGCCTGCCTCCTCACCCCAGCCATGGAGTGACAGAGAACGACGGCTGGCATTGAGCGGCGGCTGCTCCAGCATCCAGGGACCCCGAGCAGCCGGGAAGCCTCCTAGAGCAGTGGTCCCCGCACACGCTGCCACGGACCCCAGCAGCCAAGGGCGTCCCTGCAGCCACGGCACCCCGCAGCAGCCGGGGAGCCCACATCATCCCGCAGCATCCCTGCATCCCGCCCCGTCCCCGCGGTCCCCAGCAGGAGCGAGAAACTCCCCGCTCAAGTCTGTCGCTCACCGGCCGCCGTAGCGCCGGCACCGCCCCGTGTCGCTGCGGGCGCGGGAGCATGGCGGCGCCGGCGGGCTCGCTGGTGGCGGACGTGCTGGCGCACTCGGGCCGCCTGGACAAGGAGGACCTGGGCACCCGCATCGGGCGGCTGTCCCGCCGCGTGGAGGAGCTGAAGGCAGGGCCGGGGGCGGAAGGGGGAGGTCTGCGGGGACAGCGGGGGGCGCCGGGCTGTGGCTGCTGCCGGCCGGGAGCGGCGGGGCCCCAACGCGCCTTGTTCCCTAGGGAGAGGTGTGCAACGTGATCAACAAGAAGTACAACGAGTTCCTGCCCAGCGCGCAGAGCGCCGAGGGGCTGGCGGCGCAGGTGGAGGGGCTGTGCAGCAGCATCGACCTCCTGAAGGCGGGCATCGAGAGCGAGGTGACGGCGCGGGCCTTGCGCAGAGGCCGCTCCCTTTCAGCCCGAACCCGGGCCCACTCCCCCCCCCCCATACACACACCTTGAGTGGCCTGGATGATGCCGCTGCTGAAGGTGCCTTTAGATGCCACCTGCAGAGGTGTGTGTCACACTGGGGTGTGTAAGGCGGCTGTCATGAAGGGATTGGCCACGTTCCCTTGTACAGCGGGAAAGGTGTGGCACACGACTCCTTCCGAAAGAGGAGGGTCACCCTTGGGTATTGCAGTACAGTGGGATGCTGTCATGGGCCAGCCCAGCCTTGGTCCTAGGTGCTGCGTTAATTGAGAATTAACTTTTGGCTCAGTTCAAGCATTCTTGCCTTTTAAATGACTGTGTTAAAGGAGCACTGAAGTTCTCTTGACTGCCTTTTGACACTAAATTTCCTTACAGTGCCTTATAAAACCTGTAACGTATTAAAAGATAAAACTAGCTTAAAAGTGTTTGCAGAAGATAAGGAAAAAACGGATGGAGCTTTCTTCCTCCTCATTAACTCTCATCCTCCTCTATTAACAGAAATACTTTAAATCTCATGGTGTTGTCATGTTAAAGGGGAAAAGTGTCTGATAACTTCTGCTTGCTGTAAATGGACTACATTCTGTAGTTCAATAACAAACTACAGTTTGTTATTTCAGGTTCAGCGAGATCTGAACGTTGCGGTTGCCGAGTTTACTGAGCTGAAGCAGCAGCTGGAGCAAGACACACTGGTTCTGAGCATCCTGAAAAAGCTGCAGGAGGTGAGGAGGGGCTGTGGGAGGCATCCTCTGTGCTCCTCACTCAGTCTGTGGCATTATCCTGGGCTCTCTCCTGAATCACTCTCTATAGCTCCCCTGCTTCTAGCCATGCTGTTTAAAAAATTGCAGTCTAATAGCAGCTACACAGTGACATTGGCTCTATTTGCTTGTTGCAGTTTGATGTTGCTATTAAAGACTACAATACTGCCCTGCTGGAAAAGAAGTACGTTGCAGCAGCTCAGCACCTGGAAACGGTAATAATGCCTTCAGAAGCATATGACAATATTGTTCATCTATACTCTCAGTGTGTTTCACAAGATGCTGTTCAATAGCAGGGGCAACACTTACCTGTGTTTCGTGTTTGGCGTTTACCACCAGGCACAAAGCAACCTCAGATTGCTGGAATCCCGCAAGGGCTTTGAGCTGAAGATCCTGAAGGCACTAGGCACTGAGCTCACAGTGCAGACTCAGAACATGCTCTATCATCTGGGAGAAGAGTGGCAGAAATTGGCTGTATGGAAGCTTCCTCCTTCAAAAGGTACTCGCAGTTCTAGTACGTTTCACTTTCTTTGCTTTGCTGTTTGAAATGCCTGGTTTCAAGCACCTACAACATAGAAAATACAGTTAATGCTGTTGGACTAAGGTTGGTTCTGCCATTCATATAAACTAATGAGTGTGAGTGATGAGTGCCAGTGTTCTTTGGCTATCACTCCTGGAGCATTTAGGTGCTACCAGAGCCAGTCCAATATAGCCCACAAATTTTAAACAGAGTTTTGAAGAATCATCTGCCTCATCCATCATATTTCTTAAAAACATTGAAGCAGAGATCAGAAACTAATTGTAAGAAAGGCAGAAGTTTGTACATTGCTGCCTTCATTGAAGTACAAGCTTTTCCTCTGTAAAGGAGAAAAACCTTTGCCTTTGACTTGAAATGGGAAGAAGAGATTGTCACTAAACATCATTCAGTTGCAAGGTGACTGAAATGAGAAACCTGAATCATTGTAAGATTGATTCTCATTCTGTTGTCCTGCACTGTTACACAAGGGACTCTCTACCCTCTTCTGATGCTCTTTTACAAGAGCTGTGTTTTGTGGAAATGGGGAGAAGTACAATACTGCTTTAGCTGCCACCAGAGGAATGCAGTAGTTTCTCTGTTTCAGTGCTGTATCACTGGCCACACTCTTGACAGTAAGATGATGATTGTTTTTCTTTAGAAGGCAGCAGCCTGGAGTCAGTGCTGCATTCAGAATTGCACTTGCACACGGTATCATCAAAAGAGGAGGAGATTGCTGGCCCCCCTGTTGCTTCTGTGCTGCAGGCGTTTGCTGTCCTGGGAGAACTGCACACCAAGCTTAAAATCTTTGGTAAGACAGACTGTGGATCCAGATGAATATAGCTATAAAACAGCCCAGTGGGTGTGAGTTCAGACTTGTAAGGAAGATATCAAAGTCCTAGTGAAACCAGACCCAGCATTTTACCTCATTTGCTGTTCCCCAGTACAGCTAATCAAGAGAGTGTTTCTCCCACACCATGCAAAGAGTCTCTGCATCCAAAGCAGTTATGGTTTGGCCTCACTGGAGCAAACTGCCTGCCTTCTGCTGTTGGAAAACATCTTGGTTTTTTATTTCTCAGGCCAGCTGTTGCTGAAGCACATCCTCAAGCCTCTGATTTTATACCCGTCTCTTCAGCCATGCACAGAGGAACAGTCCGATGTGTTCATCCTACGTTTTAAGTCTGAGGAGCCTAGCTTGGATCATTCCTCTCCTATGGAGGTTTTTGACAAGATCAGGCTGATTTTTGAAGTTCTCCACAAATACCTGCTGAGTAGGTAGTTTCTGCCTTTCGGGATTAGACTGAGATCAGTGTCTTCTTCACGTAATTGGAGGTGAAGTTTAATGTGATATCTGGTTGTTAAGCATATTGAATTATGCTTAGCATCTAAGCAACTTTTAACGTTACCTTGCTATGCTGTGCTCTTGGACAGCTTGGCACCTTGTCAAACCAGACTTAGCTGGTCACATTGGCTAGAAACTGGCCTGGGCTTTGCTAGCATTTCATGAAACAAACACACTGGAAAGCAGGCTCAGTTCACACAAATTCAGGTGTCTTTTGGGCAGGTGGGTGGTTCCATAGACCCAGCACAAGAGCTTACCTCCAGTGTAAGACTATGGAGCAGTTGATGAATGCTGTTCTGACAGGGGGGATCAAATGAACTGGTAAAGGGTCTGGTCCAGAAAGCAGGTGTGTTAACATCCCTTTCTGTTCTCTTGCATACAGATGTGCCTCTTGAGCAGCCTGTGGAAGATAAAAAGGGTTGTGGTATTACACTGGCAGAACTGCTAGGTGACATGATATGGGAAGAACTGTCAGACTGCCTCATTCAGAACTGTCTGGTGAATTCAATCCCAACCAATAGCAGCAAACTAGAGCAGTATATAGAGGTAGGTCTCAAGATTGTTTCAGATCCACGCAGTTTCCTGGCAGGAAATGCCAGGTTGCCAGCTTGAAGAAAAAAGCTGGGCCAGCTTTTTCCAAAGGATTGCTAAAAAGCTGTTGGGTCATTAGTGCCCTCTAAGACCCAGTTTCATCCATTGCTTTCAGCCAAGTGAAAGAGTTTATACCCAACTTTGATTTTGATCTTTGGTTTTAGGAAGCTGTGTTAATTTGGAATACATGTCTGCTCTTCTCAGGTGATTAAATCCACAGAGGAATTTGAAAAAGCCTTGAAGAACATGCAGTTTTTGAAAGGAGACACGACCGATTTACTGAAGTATGCCCGTAATGTCAACTCCCACTTTGCTAACAAGAAGTGCCAGGATGTGATTGTGGCAGCCAGGAACCTGATGACCTCAGAAATACACAATACTGTAAAGGTGACTGTTGATGCAGTGCACTTTATGTGGAAAAAAAAAGCTCCTGAAGAAGGCTTGTCTAGAACAGTCAAATAGGAGGGGGTTTGTGGCACACCAGATACTTTTGATTCTTCAGGAATCTTGACAAACAGGATGTTTCTTAAAATATTAGAAGTTTGCTTGCATAGGCTTTGCTGGCTAGTGTAATAAGCATAAGAAATTATAGAAGATTACTTACAGAGTTGATTCTAGGCATGCAACAGGACATGGACTGTTTTGTGGCCTGCTGTGTCATTCATAAGCCAGGAGACTTCGAGCAGTCTTAGGGGACTTCTGCACCTTTGTGTTTATCTCGAGTGTTAAATTTCTGTCATTCAGTGTTTCGTAGTCTTGCAGTCTCCTTTCTGTGGCTCTAAATGATATTACACCTCTCACCTTCCCTTAGATCACACCTGATTCCTGTGTAACCCTACCAAAGCTTCCTGATCCCAGGGCAGGAGATCACTCAAAAATGCCAAAAGCCTCTGAACTTCTGCACAACGACGTGGTGAATTTGGAGAATAAGACTAAACTGAGCCAGTACACATTTTCTCTGCCCACATGCCGCATCAGTTCCTCAGTGGAGAAACTGATGGAGTTGGCTTATCAGACACTGTTGGAGGCTACTTCCAGCACAGATCCGTGGTAAGAATTCTGTATCAGCAAATAACTCTTCCAGGTCAGATTCTTACTGCCTTTGGCAACACCAAGCATCTGCTAGTGGATTAAAAGGACTTGAACAAAAGATACCTTCAAATTAGAATCAGTCATTTAAGCTACTGTTTTGGCTGGGGGGTGCATCCCTG